CCTCCACCTTTCGGGCCTGCCTTAGCCTCCTGAGTAGCTGGGAGTACAGGTGTGCATCACCATGTCTGACTAATTTTTGTATTTTTTGTAGAGATGGGTTTTTGCCATGTTGGCCAGGCTGGTCTTGGATTCCTGACCTCAGGTGATCCACCTGCCTCGGCTTCCCAAAGTGCTGAGATTGCAGGCGTGAGCCACTGCCCCCAGCCCAACAGTTTTTTAAAATAATATTTTAAAAACCGTTTTCTTTAAAAGTTCTTACCAGCTGGAAGTAAATGGTCAGGTTTTGAAATTATCAGTTATTTCATGGTGTCAGATCCCTTTTTCAGATTTGTAATTAATGGCCAGGAAGGTGTGATTAGGGTAATGTTTCTAACTTTAAAAAGTAACTTTTAAAGATAAACTTGGGAATGGCTCCTAACATAATTCTTTCACTGAATACCCTTTTCTGATTTGCAGTCTTAAATAAGTCTTCTTGGATTTTGCTGTCTGTGACTTCTGTGCTGTTCTCTGTCTCAGTGGTTGTTGACTTTCCCTTTGAGAAGGGAGAATTAGACCTGGGCATCGCCTCATTCTGATCTGATTTGGTTGCTCCTCTGCTTTCCTGCTACTTTGTCTGGCATGAATGGCAGAGAAATGAGTTGATAGGTCACTTCCTGGTATGGATGAAGATTTGGAACTCTATTTCTGTTTTGTTTTTAAATTTTACACACAAATACAAAGAGTGGAAATTTTGGGAACCCTTACTTACTCTTTGCCAAAATACCTTTTATCTTCTCATTCTCAGAAGAAAGGAGAGAGCTGTCAGGTATGCCCAGATTTAAGTGGGTCAACAAATTTTGATGCCTCTGATGTTTTGGCCTGTGGTCTTTTATTTCTTCATTTTTTCTTTTCTTTCTTTTTTTTTAAAGGGATCTGCTGAATTGGTGTAATAGGATTGCCCATAGCTTTGACAGTTCATCTTCATCAGCATCATTAAATATTTTTCAAGAGGTAAGATCTGGTTTTCCAGTCTTTTATCTCTTTGCTCTGTAAGGCTATTAACTTCTGTTCTGTCTTTTGATTGCCATCAGAGTTTTTTCTTTTTCCACAGTATGATTTCTTGTTCTTAGCTAGTTAAAAATTCATCTAAAGTGGTATTAAAGCTAATTGGGTGTAATACATGTTTTGTGGTTTCTGAAGCAAATTATTATTAATTTCAGAAGTATAGTTTGAGATAGAGTAAAACAGATAAGATAGGGAAATTAAAGTAAATGAAAAAAAAACTCCCAGGTAATAATAAAGCAATGTTTATTCCTATATAACATCTCTTAGTCGGTTTGATAAATTTGTATCTCTCTGCTCCCTTCACTTTTCTCAGTAGAGTTGGTTGATGTTGGTTGACTGAACCTCTTTGTAAGCATTAAGTCCCGGATGAGTTTCAATGAGGGTGGTGGACTCTTCTTACCAATGGATCTGGGGTCCATTGTTAGTATCTATGAGAGGAGCATGCGTAGGCATGGGGCTTAACCATTCTAGTGGATATTATTACAGAAGACCAAATCGTAGAGGTAAAGGTGGAGTAAGAACAGAAGGAGTTGGATGTTCTTTTAGAAGTAACTCTTTTAAACTATAATATGGTAACCAGAGGAATTATTCTCTTGTACTCCAATTACTACTGAATTTGAGACCAGCCATTTCCAATCAGTAGTGTAGATTCTTTTGAGAACTACTGAGGAAACACTGGCAGATTGTTTTTGTTTGTTTGTTTTGAGATGGAGTCTTGCTCTGTTGCCTAGGCTGGAGTACAGTGGTATGATCTCGGCTCACTGCAACCTCCGCCTCCTGGGTTCAAGTGATTCTCTTACCTGTCTTCCGAGCAGCTGGGATTACAGCCACCCGCCACTACGCCTAGCTAATTTTTGTATTTTTAGTAGAGTTGGGGTTTCACCATGTTAGTCAAGCTGGTCTCGAACTCCTGACCTCAGGTGATCTGCCCGCCTCAACCTCCCAAAGTGCTGGGATTACAGGTGTGAACCACCATGCCTGGCCCTGCAATTGTTTATGTCCAACTCTTTTCCCCACTTACTTGATGTAGATCAAAATCTACCTTTGTCAAATATTAGCTCTACTGTAATTTATTACAATTAAAGACCACCTATATTTTTGTTAGACCTAGGTTGTGATTTCTCCAAGGACATTGAGAACATATTTTTTCCTCAAAAATATTTGTAGTCAAATTTGTTCAGAGGAAGATTGCTTTTGGGGACTGCCATTAGCCCTCCGTTTCTGTGGCCTCTTCATCTGAGGAGTCAACCAAACTTGGATCTGGAATATTCCATTTCTGTCCTTAAGGTAGACAGTAAAAAGGAAATAAATAAATAAATAAGATATTTCAGGAAATAAATGATTGTATTGAACATGTACAGACTTTTTCTTTGTTATTATTCCCTAGACAGTACAGTGTAATACCTATCTAGAGATGATTTAAAGTGAATAAAGAGTATATGTATAGGTTATATGCAAACACTACACCTTAAATTTTTTTTTCTTATACTTATTTTTCTACATACTGACGTGCACTCTATGCCATTTTATGTAAGGGACTTGAGCATCTTTAGATTTTGGTTTCTGTGAGAAGTCCTGGAACCAATCCCCCAGAAATACCTAGGGACAACTGTTTCATAATAGTAAATCCTGTGTTTCTATTTTTTTTTTTTTTTTTT